GGGTGTAAGAAACGGGCCGTGGGCTGGGCCCCTCGCTGCATTTCTGGCACCTTCGAGGGCCCTCTTGTTGGCTCCCGGTGTCTCGGAGGGGCCTCGTCAAGCCGATGGCTTTCCCCCCGTGTGCAGGGGGAGACGCTTTTCTGTGCGGCCATCGAGCCGTGCCGGGTTCCAGCCCTCCGCTGTGTTTGATGCTTCTCACCTGTGAATTGAGTCTTGACAGACATGCTCAGCACACCGCTCTTAAAGCGAACTTCTGAGAGGTTAAGGAAGCACTACTATGGAGAGGTTAAATGGCCGGCTGATGGAAAGGTGCCGGTTTGGGGCTGGAGTTGGTGTCTCAACTGCAGACCCGTGGTCTGGCTGCTGGAGTGGAGATTTTCAAACTGGAACCTGCCCAGTAATGCTCTTCCCTTTAAAAGCAAAAGAAAAGTTAACCTTTCCCTTTCAAAAGCAGATACACAAATTTGGTTGTTAAGCAAGGTAACAAGAGAAGCTTTCACTTCAGAATATTTATTCGGTGAACTGCTCTGAGACACCCAGTCCTGGCAACTTGGAAAGCGGCGGAGGGATGTTTGAATTTTTGTTTTGGTGTTGTCTCACTGAAGCTTGCTATTAGTCAGAGCTCAGTGAAGTGACAGCACCGATTTGATTATGCTATTGAAATAACTGCAAACTCCTTATAATAAAGTGTGTCATTTGTTTTTAGTTCACAGTGTGAGCAATGCTAGGCATTCTTGCCATTCCCAGTGAATTCATTTGCAGGTGAAGGATTAGGAAATGGAAGACACGTTTTCAGCACCTTGCAGTTTCCAGCAGGTCAGCTGAACAGCTTAGCTTGCACATTCAAGGCAATTACTGGAAAAGCGGTTGTTCTTACTTGCGTGGAGCCAAGTGATGATAAGAGCCATTCGTTAGTTTGTCAGTTTTCTAGACTGTTCAGGGCAAGTCTGCCCATTTCAGCTGGTATTGGTCGCCTCTTCCTTGCCTTGAGAGAGGGTAGCATGTGATGTCTTTCAGCTGGTCTAGATACGCAGTTCTGATCCAGGCAGTGACTTTACAGAAAAGCAATCACTACTTTACTATTGCACTGTGCCCTTGCTCATAAGGAAAAGGTTTTCCTCCCCAAACATCTTGCTACCCTTATCTTTAGCTGTGGATGGAAGTTCCTGGGAAGTCTCTCAAGTAGTATATATCCAATGATATCAGCAGTGAGCTGTGATAATATATTAGAGGTGCATTTTTTTTCTGGCATTGCATAATAACTTCCATAAACAGCATCAGAATATGTGTTATAGTGGAAGCATGTGATGTTGAACCACTGGATTCTTAAGAACAGGGATTACATACAATTGTGCAGAGTTAATATGATTCTAGAGTACTTCCATGATTTCCTTAAGCATATACTTTGTGGCTTTGGCACCTTATTCCTTCATGTGGGATATACTTTTAAATTTGAGTGCTCTTTAAACACAAGTTATTGGTGCTGACTCCGTTCCTTCAACTGATTCGCCTTCCCAGTGTGTCCAGAGCTTGGGCTGTGTTTCTGGACTTGGGTGCCTCTTGGCATCCCAGTGTTCAGAGGGCAGTAGTGGTTGTATAGACTGAACTCAGGGGACTTGCTAGTAAGGAGCCTGGTGTTTTCCCACAGTCAACTAATTGTTCCGTGAGGATCTACCCACTTAGCTTCTCTAATCAGGGTGTGGTTTTCTTATGCAAGAAGTGAGATTTAATTAACTCTTGCTTTCAATGCTCCAGGGATCTTTTTATAGAATCTGCCACATTGTGACCTGATGCTGTCTGTAAATATGCTTGTTCTTGTGTCTTAATTTAATTTTGTGATTTTTCTTCTCTGCTACTGCAGAGATTGTTCATTTATATCCTCATGGCATTTCTGGAACAAAGCTTGGAACTGTAAAAGTCTTTGTTCACACTTCTTTAAAATACTGTGTTGTAGGCACATTGGAGATAATACTGATCCTCCTTTGATGTTCCTGGTTTCCTTTTCATCGCATGGTATAGTTGAGAAGAAAGACTTGATTCAGCATTTAGGAGGAGAAATTTGACCAGGTCCACATAGAGGAGCAGTAGGAAAGAAGCTCCTATCCTGAACATGTGCTGGACGTGTGAGGATGTGCACCTCGCGGTGCAGTCCTTACTGATTGTTCCCCTGCACGTTGCTTTGCCTCAGACTTGAGTGGTGCAAAGGGTAAAAGGCTGCAGGAGGGAGTTGATGGGGGTTGGACTGTGGGATTAACTGCTCTGGGAAGTGCTGGGCAAGAGACTGCTGTGCTGACTGGCCCCTAAAGCAGGTGAAGGCTGACCTCTCGGCTCCCGAGCATGGTAGGAGCTAACTGCAGCCAGGGCCCTTCTGGGCCAAGGTGGCAGCTCAAATCTCCTTCTTGGATTTAGGCATTAAAGGTCTGCTTCTGATGCCTTAATCCATACAGGTTTTGCACTGAGCGTTCCCTTGCTCTCCGCATCAATGCCTTGTAAGGATCTAGCAGTGATTGACAGGCAGAAGCTTTCTGCTGCTAATCTGAATATTCAAAGTGTTACTATAGTCTGATGCATCTGTTCTCTTTTTACAGGCAATAAGTGAGGCTTTTGTAGAGATACGAAGTAGTACAGCAAGGTACAAAAGAGAATTTGTGCCAGTTCTTTCTCTTTGCTTATTCTGTCTCTTGTCATCTCAGAAGGGCTGAGAGGCCTTAGCCTTCTGCCTGGGAGTGGGAAGGCAAAGGCAAGACTGCAGGAGTTAAGTAAGCAAGCTTAAAAAGAATACTTGCAATGTTGGGAAAGCAATTCTAGGGATACCAAAGTGCAGGATAATATTTTTTTCCTGTTAGTACAACAGCTTTATTTACAAGCTCTGAGATCCTTAAATATTATAGATCATAGGGTGATTTAACTACAGGGCATCTGAGGCCAGAAATTTGTTCCCAGATTCAGCCATACCAGCAGTGCTGAATATTGAATGAAATGCAAATTTGAAAAAAGATGTGATGTAGAGCAACATTATGTCAGCAACCGCAGGGAAAAGGAAACTAGGACAGTGTGAGATGATGTCTGACTTGTCCCTGATACTTGGGCAAGGGCAGAGGGAAAGGGTTAGTAGTGGTTCAGGGAAGAGAGATGTCATATAACAAAATGTGCACACCTCCCATGGATAAATTAAGTTTCTGTTTCAGTTTCCTGTCAGACAAATGGAGTGAGTCATCCAGACAGTAGAATAGTCTGTCTGTATTATTTCAGACTTCAAAATGTCTTCTCGGATAAAAGTAGAACATGCTTTTTTCCTTTTTTTCCAACAGGAAAGAGACTACAGGAATGGATCTCTGTCATCTTATGCTTCTCTCTGATCTGTTTCAATTTTTACAATCTTCTCTTCTACTTGCGACTGGAACACACGCCCTCTGTTATTGTTGGGATATGTAAGTAGGACCTGTTCACTGCCGCGAACAAGGCACGACTGTTGTAATGCTGGAAACAAACGTGTGATCCTTTAGGGCTGACCTACTGTTGGAAAGGGAGAGGGATGTTTGGGCCGGGGGGGCAATAGTAGGCCTCTGAAATTCAGACCATCTGCAAAAACTGTTACTGCTTTCTGTCTTTCATTTCAGTGGCTTCTCAGTACCTCAAAGGTGAAGTTTTTAACATAGCTATTTGAGTTTGGTGTTCTTACGTAGTCATTGCAAGTGGGGGGACTACTGAGAGGTGTAAACAGCTGTCAAGACTGGGTTGGAAACAAAACACATTGATTGAAAAAAATACTTATCAGAAAGCAAAAGCCCAAGAGAAATCTTAAGAGGTGCTTCAGGCATCAAACTGGCTTGATTTCTGGGGACTGATAACTAAAACAGAGTGGTTTAGAGTATTATGCTTTCATGTCAGGACGTGAAGTTTGGCCGTTATCCTGAATGATGACTTTTTTTCCAGCAATGTAAGAAAAGTTGCAGCTTTTCTTGTGGCAATAAATGTGACTCTTGGTGTCTCTCTTGCTTCGTTTGATTGGGCGCGTAGGCAAGCAAGCTCAGTCTTGTATCTTTGCCTTAGATGTGTAGAGCTATTTAAATTGGCTGGATCTTGGCAGTGCAGAGCTGGCTGGTCTAGATGCAGCGTGAGTTGGTGATTTCATCTTTTTAGTGGAGGAGAGAAAGAACTAGGAAAGGATTCTAGTTTGATGCTGTACAGCTTTACTGATGGAATCGGGAATTGCATGGGATTAGCTAAAGGAAAAAACTTGTCTTGGAATAACCTGGGTGTGGAAAGGGATTCCACAACATTCGTTACATCAGTCAAAGCCTAAACCTGTGCACAACGTGAATGTTGCTTAATGCTCAGGGCAAAAAGGATCAGTGTTTACATGAGCTTTGTGTTATTAGTGTAGTGCTGAAATGCTGTTACACAGAACCTTGCTTGAGAAGGGGCAGAAGAGAGAGCAGCGGGGCGGGCTGAGCTCAAGCAGGTGGTGGTCCGTGGCTGGCTCAGTCTGCTGGCGTTATCTGGGCAGGAAACGTGACTGGTAGCTCTATGGCCATGTATGTATGGGAGGGGACATGGGAAAAGGAAAGAGGGTTAAAGTTAGAAATTCGGAGAGTCAGCTCTGCAATGCATGCTTTTCATAATTTTCTGTTAAACCTCTCCTATGGGATGAGGGAGGGAAGAGAATAGTAACTAAGCATTTCACCAGTCTTCTACTGTACTTGCGATGCATATTGAATGCAATAGTAACTTCTTGTGTTGGGTGGATATAAATGTTTATTTATTTTCATATGAATTACCTTGTTAACTGAAAGAATATACAGTGTCATTCATTAGGACACCATATAAGCTAGCTACAGGTGTTCAGCTTCTGTGCTTTATAATAAAAGTGACTTTTCCATAAACTGTGTGAGGTGTCGATAATTTAGAAGAGAATGGTACTCATTTGTAATCACTTGCATATTGCTAGTGGTTAAAAAAAAAACCAAAAAAACAAGCAAACAGCAGATTCAAGTAGTGATATGATAGTTGCTATGAATTTTTGCCAAAGCTGAGAAGTGGTAGTTCCTGATGTCAGTTTAAAGGTTATTGGCTTTGTGTTGGGGCTAAGGGGGAGCAGTGTCCTCCCCCTGTGAATCATACCAACTCACCTGGCCTAATTGAGTCTTGCCTGCTCTCCACTGATGAGGTGGAGGCGTTGGGAGGAATGGAGAAGAATGTGGCATAAGAACTGCTCCATAGTGATGAGGACAGATGCAGACAAGAGAATCAGTAATGATGGTTAACCAGTAGTGCAATCTGTTTGCAACTGGCTTTCATCTCAAAGTTAATATTGATAAAAGCTCGAGTTCTCTGATATCCTGGTTACCAGTTTAACTGATAAAGCAGCCAATTCACTGATAATGTTATTTAAGTAGAGGTGAATGATTAAAGTAGCAGAATCTGGATTCTGTGTAAATAAAGTAGTGTGGAAATAACTGATAGTGTGTACAAAAATGAGTGCAATAAAATAATAAGCGCTGCACACTATCTTGTTTTGCTGTCTTCCTTCAATACATTATTCTTCCAGGTAAAATGTGAGTGGTGTCTATAATTCCCAATGATTATTAGGTTTTATTAAGTTCTGTGAAACTCATCTCCATAAATGCCCTGATTCCTAAATACCGCACACAACGCAGTGGGGTAAGATGGGGAATATTGAGTCACAGACATCGTCAGATGTGTTCCCATTGAAAGCTTTCCTGAAGCATAGATTAGAATATTGACCTTTGAGTTGACATCACAAAATAAACATTTTGCTAACAAAGACATAGGTCTAGATTGAGTTCACAAACCTGAAAGCGATCAGTGATCCAACGGGCTGGATCTGATCTGCGGCACAGACCTGTTCATTAAGATGAGTTGTTGGGACACCCTGTGTACTTGTATGTGAATATTTTTTTTTTCTTTTAAGAACTAAGGAGTAGTTTGAACCTTCCGCATCATTTCACCTAACCTAAACCCTATATCTATAATTAAAGGCTGTGCTAGATCTTCTTTTTTCATGCCTTCAAAAGCACACATAATTGTAACATGGGTAATATTGTAAATATCTTAATGTAGAAATTCTTGGGACAAAAAAGATCCGATCCTCTTACTGGTAGTCTGAAAGCACTCACTTCCTCATCTGATGTGAGCAGGCAGCCTGCTAAGCAGCAAACTGGCCCAGCATGCTGTCCTTTGCTGTGCTGAACCACCTACGGGGACTTGTGCTGCGGAGTGAGGGCAGGCAGGCAAGAGCTTGATGGCGTTGGGTTAGAGCAGCTTTGGCACTGGGTTGCCTTCTGCTGACTGAAGATGATCTGTGCGGAAAGGAAGAACAACACGTGTGAGTCTCTTGTCTTCCAGGCTGGTTTAGCAGAGACGTGAGACAATTCCCTTCCCTTCCTCAGTGTCAAAAAAAAAAAAACCCAAACCCAAACAAAAAAAGAAAATAGGCAGGGGATGGAAATTTTTTTTGTTCTTTCTGTGTTAAATCCAGTCACACCCTATTCTGAATGTCTTCAGCTGCTATGAAAATTTCCATTTTCGTGCAGGCTGACAGCTATGTCAATTTGAATTTGGTATTTTATTTGCATGCACACAGCTAACTCCAGGGGAGGCTTGGTTAGGAGGGCTGGGTGCAGTGGAGGTTTAACACCCCTGTTCTTCCAGCTGCCACTGGATGGTCCCAGTGCAGCGGGGCACGGTCCTAGCAGAGCTGCAGAGCCAGACCAGCCTCTGCCACTGCGACAGAAGCTTGGTAGCGCCAGGGACAAGGCTGGCACAGGTATTACTTGTGTGATAAGCAGAAAAGCTTCACCAAAACAGGTAAGATTAGGCTTGAAAGCTCTTACACCTTCAGGTGAGCTTGTAACGTCCAGCATGTTATTCCATACACAAGTTGTGTATATATAGGTGGTATATTAATAGCATCTAGATAAAAAGTTTGGCAAGTTACATGATGGATTCTGGTTTTCTTTTTTCCCCCCTCCCTCCTCATGTCTATGTATAGGGCTTTAAAGCCTTTTTTCCCAATTGGTTGACTTGTTTCTGACATCTTTCTGCAGCCACAATTGTTCTTAACAGATACAGTTTATTGCAGTCTTAAAAAAAAAAAAGCAGTTAAGTTTGTGTTGTAATCTGTTTATATGCTTAAGAACTGCCCCACGTAGGGCAGATACCTTTAGAAACCTCTTGTGATACAACACAAGATACAGTTAATCCTTGCTGAATGCAGAGGCGGGGAACTAATTTTTGTTAAACCCGTTTGAGGTACACGTTTCATTATTGCAAATGTTGTGGGTTGGCCGGATGGGGCACGCAGGAGGAGATCGCTTAGTTCGCTTTCAAAACAGAAACTTGTTCTGATCAAGGCCCCAAACGTTTTTGTTTCAAGCTTGAGTGGCTCTGCAGAGCTGCACTTGGTTGCTGCATTGCAGGGTCGAGCGATGAGTGTGTAATACGTATGCGAGCGCTGGCACGCACGGGAGTAAAAGCACGCCAGGGACGACGACCGCTTCATGAAACGGACTGCTGTGCCTGTGGATCCGCCGCTTCAAAGTCCTGCTGCCGTGCAGCAAGAGGCAGAACTCTGACGATGTTGCTTCACTTCGGGTTTACTTTGTATGTTAACATGAGTTTCTGCTTGAAATTTTGATATAAAAGGTCCTTGAAATTACACCAGGGAAACCTCAGTTAACAAAGGAAAATTATCCTTTGCTTCAGTGCTGGTCCAGATAAGCCAAATCTTTGTTGCCTGCTGTCTCACCCCACCTGAAGTAACTATTTGTTACTTCATAGCTGTAGGTAACTTTGTGCTTCCCATTCTAAACTGTATCATCTCTTAAAGATGGAGACTCCACAAGTTGCAATTCAATAGGCAAACCTGTGATTCTGCGTTTTGTTGCCCTTTGTGTTGCACAAATACAACTGCATTGCACTAACACAAGTTGTGTTTTATCTTCTGTTGATCCAGTTTGTGTGTGTTAACTTAGGAGCTCCAGGCCTTTCCAGCACCAAAGGATCCTGGAGGCTGTTGGTCTTGACAGTGGAATTACGGAGTATCGTTGCTGGGTTGCGCTCGGGCGGGTGGCACCGGTTGCCTGTTCTGCACCTAAATTGGATTAGGGGATGAACTTGAGCGTGCTAGCAGCTGTCCTCGGGCAGGATGGGTGAAGGCTGGACTCTGATGGGGAAGAGGGGACCCTCCCTGCCTGAGACTCTTACCCTGGGTGGGGGAAGCTGCTGACATGGCCCCATCCCGGTCCGTGCGTTCCCAGCGGACGTGCTGTTGCTCTTTATGTCAGCGGCAGCGACTGGGACAAAGAAAGCTCTGTGTGCTTGCCGAGTTGTCAGGAGCTCTCTTAAAGTTGCAGGGGACTTTGGCTCGAGGATTTAAGAAGTATGGGTCTCTGTGGCCCTGAGTCAC